TCGAGTTCGGTCTCCGTCGCGTGACTAGCGACCTTCGCCACGAGGACGCTTCGGTCACCCCAGAGCTTCTCTCGCGTGACTACCGACGTTCACCACGACGACGACGACGACGACGACGACGGCGGCGGCGACGACGACGACGACGAGGACGAGGACGACGACGAGGACGAAGACGAGGACGAAGGACGGCGACGACGCACTGCGGATGCCCTATGGGGGGGGCGCGGGGTGTGCTGCGCAGGCCCGCTGTAGTCGTCGACGGCGACGACGACGAGGACTATGACGAGGAGGACGAGGACAAGAACGAAGGACGCTGGACGGCGAGGACGACGATGACGCACTGCGGATGCCCTAAGGGGGGGGGTGGTGGTGGTGCTGCTGCTGCGCAAGCCCGCTGTAGTCGACGACGACGACGACGGCGAAGAAGACTGCGACGACGAGGCGACGGCAACGGCGACGACGGCGGCAACGACGACGACGGCGACGACGACTACGACGACGATGGCGAAGACGAGGACGAGGACGAGGACGACGACGAGGACGACAACGAAGACGACGACGACGACGACGACGACGGCAGCGACGACGAGGACGACTACGATGACGCTGACGACGACGACGACGACGACGACGACGACGACGGTCGACGTCGACGTCGACGACGACGACGACGACGACGACGACGACGACTACGACGACGACGACGACGACGACGGCGGCGGTGGCGGCGACGGACGGCAACGACGACGACGAAGACACACTGCGGATGCCGCATGGTGCTGCGTAGGCCCGCTGTAGTCGACGACGACGACGACGACGACGCCCGAGAGGGAGAAACACATCGCCTCGGATGTATACGACCCCTATAACAATTTCTATACGAAAGGCAATCGTTTTGAGGCTGTCATGCCGGGGGGTACACGATCCCCTCGGTGGCGCCCGCGGCGACCCCCCGGCGCGCGTGATTACAGAGATAATATCGCGCCCCGCCGGGTCTATTCATCAGCCCCAGGGGGGGGCTGCACTTGTTGACCACAAGCTGACATTACCGCCACTCCCTGGACCTCTTCCTGGGTGCGTTCTGACCGGGCGAAGGCTAGCGGCACTGCGGCACGGGTACCTCTCCCTCCTCCTCCTCCTCCTTCTCCTCCTCCTTCTCCTCCTCGTTATCCTCCTCCTCCTCCTCCTCCTCCTCCTCCTCCTCCAGCTCCCCCTCCTCCTCCTCCTCCTCCTCCTCCTCCTCCTCCTCCTCCTCCGCGTCCAGGCAGCCAGCTTCTCATCCCGGGCAGGTGCTCTCGTTGCCCACGGCCCCCCGGGGGCCGGGGGAGGGCCCGCGGAGGCCGCGCGCCAACAAGCAAGAGGAGGAGGAGGAGGAGGAGGAGGAGGAGGAGGAGGAGGAGGAGGACCCCTTTGGGGGCCATCGCGCGCGGGCCTCCGTCGGCCGAGTCGGGACGCCTGGCGCCCCCCCCTCACAACGCTCCTGGCGAGGCGCCTGGGACGACGCCAGCGTGGCACGAGCACGAGGATAACTTCAGGCGAAGATGAGTCGAGTCTCTCTGAGTCCTGACGGTTCTGGAGGGTGTCCCGGGCGCCGCGGCCTCCTCTGAGCCTTCTGGAACGCTCTGAGAGCGTTCAAGAACGCGTTGGAACGGATTTATCCTCGTCCTAGCCCCGTCCGAGGCGCAACTGCTGGAGGGCATCCAGAAGCCGCGAAAACTTACGGGAACCAACGGAAACATCCGAAAACCTCCTAGCGGACCGAGAACGGAATCGGTGTTTCCCTGAACAGCTCGAAGTCTTCACCGACGACGACGGCAGCGACGATGAGGGGCAAGGAGGAGGATGAGGAGGAGCAGGGCGAGGAGGAGGAGGTTCTGGCATCTCGAGGGAAATGCGGCCGTGGCGACGAGAAGCCGTCCCCCAGCTCCAGCAGGAAACTCCAAGTCCGGAGCTGGAGCCCATCGCCCCCCTTTCTCGCCAACGCTGGGGCGTCCACTCCCCGTGCCTTGTTCGATGCAGTGCGTGCATTTCTTCGCCAGATGACACCCGAAAAAACTACTCATTGGCCCTCGCCGAGAACGAACGCACACGTCCGAGCGATGCCAAGCTTCTGGACGTCCGAAATGGGTACGGAAAGCATGGGTTCGCTGTCCAGCACCAAGTGTTGTCCAAAACCGACAGAGGCCGCTGGTGGGCCGGCGGCCGCCTCTGTCTCAAATCGACAGCGTCCGCGGCGACACCGACAGCGAGTCCTGTACCGTCGGTCCTCGTACCGATCCTTGCCGCACCCCTTTCGATCGTCGCGACCCCTGACGTCGCCCGACTCCCCCCCGCGCTGCCCCTGGTCGACGGCGGCGGCGGCGAGGCGAGGCAAGGCGAGCGACGAGGTGCTCGCGGGCGTCCTGCGCGCCGCCCGGCCTCGCGGGGAACTCGGACTCCAGGCTGAGGCCGCTAGTCAGCGCGTACTCGTAGGCCAGCTCGGCCGTGGCCCCCTCGCAGCCTCGCCGCTCCGAGCGCGGATGGCTCGCTCGTGTGCGTGTTCGTCCTCGGTGCCGTTGTGTGCGCCGCGGCGTCTTCGTGTTTCGCCTTCGTTCTGCGTGCTTGCTTCGTGCGCGTGCGCGTTTCGTGTTCGTTCCGGGTCGCTTTCGCACGAGGGCGGCCTGACCGATATCAACGTGTTGGTGCAGATCACAAGTCGTGATTGGCAGATGGTGGGCCCTAGAATGAAGACAAAGCGCAAACGATGAGAAAACTGGAACGGTCCACAAGCCCTCTGCGCGCAGGTGGTCTAGGGAGGCTCCTCCACCAACCCCATTCTTCCCCTTCGGGGAAGGGTTATCACTGCTCCTTATTAGAATACACACCCCCTTCCCCACCCGACTGCGAACCAACCCGAGACAGGCCCCCCCCTCATTCCATCCCTATCAAAAAAATACACCAGTGCGACCCTACCTAGAAGTTGGAGCCCCTAGGAAAGCAGCATTAGTTGCTATGCTATGCTATGCTATGCTATGCTATGCCATGTTATGCTGCGCTATGCTATGCTATGCTATGATATGCTATGCTGCGCTATGCTATGCTATGCTATGCTATGCTATGGTAAGCTATGCTATGCTATGATATGCTGTGCAAAGCTGCGCTATGCTATGCTATGCTATGCTCTGCTCTGCTATGCTATGGTACGCTATGCTGCGCTGTGCTATGCTGTGCTGTGATGTGCTGCGCTATGCTATGCTATGCTATGCTATGCTATGCTGCGCTATGCTATGCTGCGCTATGCTATGCTGGGCTATGCTATGATATGCTGTGCTGCGCGATGCTATGCTACGCTACGCTATGCTATGCTATGCTGTGCTCTGCTATGCTAAAACTCAGCGACGCTAAGATGAAGGTAAGCTAAGCTAAGATAAACCTGAGCTAAGATGAAGCTAAGCTAAGCTAAGATGAAATAAGCTAAGATAAGATCAGATAAGCAACGCTAAGCTAAGGAAACGTCACTGGGGGAACCGCGGGGCGGATGCCGGGGGAACCGCCCGGGGCGAGGACCACTGCCCGGCCCCTTTAAGACACACGGTAAGAACCCTTCTAGGCAGAGCCTAGGTAGGGAACAATACAGAATCCGCTTTGCCTCCAAATCTGGAGCATGCGCGGGCGCCCCGCGACCACTTTGCATGGTTTCTGACAAGGACGGCGGGGGTGCCGTCATATTGCTCGCTGAGCGCAGGCCAAGCATCCCTGTAAACAAATTATCCCAGTGCGACCCTACCGAAGAGTTGGAGCCCCTAGGAAACCAGCATTAGTAGTAGCAGTAAAGCTAAGCTAAAGCTGAGCTAAAGCTAAGCTAAAGCTAAACTAAAGCTAAGCTAAAGCTAAGCTGACGCTAAACTAAAGATAAGCTAAAGCTAAAGCTAAAGCTAAGCTGAAGCTAAGCTAAATCTAAGCTGAAGCAAAGCTAAAGCTAAGCTAAAGCTAAGGTAAATCTAAGCTAAAGCTAAGGTAATTCTAAGCTAAAGCAAAGCTAAAGCTAAGTTAACGCTAAGCTAAAACTAAACTATATCTAAGCTAAAGCTAAGCTAAAGCTAAAGCTAAACTGAAGCTAAAGCTAAGCTAAAACTAAAGCTAAAGCTAAAGCTAAAGCTAAAGCTAAAGCTCCCAGGGGACCGGGGGAACCGCTCCCAGGGGACCGGGGGAACCGCCCGGGGCGCGTAGCACTGCCCGGCCCTTTTAAGCTACAGAGTAAGAACCCTTCTAGGCAGAGCCCAGCCTAGGTAGGGAACAATACAGAGTGCACTTTGCCTCCACGTCTGGAGCGTGCGCGGGCGCCCCGCGACCACTTTACATGGTTTTTGACAGGGACGGCGGGGGTGCCGCCATATTGCTTAAACGTGGAGCACGTGCCGCACCTGGCGCGCCTGGCTCGCGTGGGCCTCCAGGGCGCCTGGTGCACCTGGAACCCGTGGCGCACATGGCACGCGTGGCGCTCCTCAGCCACATGCTGAGACTCCCTCAGGTGCTACTTATGTGCTGGGAGGGCGGCTGGGAGTGAGCGAGACGGCTTGCGGGCGAAGGGGGGGCCTCGACCCCTCCCCCTTACCTCCTTTCCCTGGACTTGGACGGAGGGTTCCGCGAGGGGTTGGAGCGTCCAAGATGGCCCAAGACGGCTCCAAGATCGCCTTAGAAAGCCCACGATAACCTCCAAGATGGCTCAAGATATCCCAAGGTGCTTCAAGATGGCCACCAAAATGTTCCAAGAGGCCCCAAGAGCGCTCGAAGACGGCTTCAGGTGGCCACGGAGCCTCCCCAAGAGGCCGACAAGAGGCCACAATCCGTCCAACACCTAGGGAACATCAATGTTGTTTGCTTTCTCGCGTTCTCGTTTCCGACTGCCTTCCGAGGCCTCAGGATGACTCCAAGATGGCCCAAGAGGTCTCCAAGAGGAGCCCAAGAGGCCTCCAAGATGGCCCCAAGAGCGCCCCAAGAGGCGATGTTAGGCATGCTAGGCGGGCAAGGTTAATTGAAGCTCCCCTCGTTTTTGATGGATGCCGTACAAGATGGCTCCAAGAGCGCCCTTACAGCTCCCAAGAGCGCCCAACTAGGTTTCCAGGAGGCGCCCAAACGGCCACAAGAGGCGCCCAAGAGGCCTCCAAGAGGCTCCCAGGAGATAACAACCAGGAGGCCTCAACATGATCCCCGAGGCACCCACGACGCTCAAAGACTGCCCTGGGCCCGCCCAAATGCTTACCCAGACGACCCAAGAGGCTTCGACAAAACTTCCAGGCGACATCAGAGGAGACTCCGAGCGGCCCTCAAGAGGCTTCTGGCTTTTCTGTTCGACCTGTTCCTCCTCCTCTGTATCCTCCCCCTCCTTCTCCTCCTCCTCCTCCTCATCATCATCATGATCAGCATCAGCATCATCACCATCATCATGATCATCATCATCATGATCATGATCAGCATCAGCATCAGCATCATAATCATAATCATAATCATCATCATCATCATCATCATCATCATCATCATCATCATCAGCATCATCATCATCATCATCATCAGCAGCATCATCATCATCACCATCACCATCATCATGATCATCATCATCATCATGATCATGATCATAATCATGATCATCATCATGATCATCATCATGATCATCATCATGATCATCTTCATCTTAATCATCATCAGCATCATCATCATCATCATCATCATCATCATCATCATCGCTTACTCCTCCTCCTCCTCCTCCTCCTCCTCCTCCTCCTCCTCCTTCTCCTCTCTCATGCCTCGTCCTCCTCACCCTTATCCTCCTCCCCCTCGCCCTCCTCCTCCTCCTCATTATGTTCCGGCTCCTTCTTCTCCTCACTCCTCCTCACTCCTCCTCCTCTCCTCCTCCTCCTCCTCCTCCTCCTCCTCCTCCTCCTTCATGGGTATTATCATGGGTATTACCATTATGAGTGTTACTATACTGATTCTCAGTCATGCGTTTTCATACCCTTATTGTTACCAGTCGCCTTCTCACTCTTCTTCTTTCGTATTATGTCTGACAATACGACTATTGAAAAGATTAGCAGTATCATCGTTTCTTATCACTAGCGTTATTAAGCATCTTGTTCTTCGTTGTTTTCTTATTACTGTTCGTTTTCATATTATTCATCCTCCTCCTGCTCCTCCTGTTCCTCCTGTTCCTCCTCCTGCTCCTGCTCCTGCTCCTGTTCCTGTTCCTGTTCCTGCTCTTCCTCCTCCTCCTCCTCTTCCTCCCCCTCCTCATCGCATTATAGTCCACATCCCTGATCAGGGCAGTTCGTCTGGGCATCGTTTCTTCATGGGCTGGTGGGGTTACTTTTTTGGTCGCGGCCGCGAGACAAGGGTCAGGCGGCGAAAGCAAGGTCCGGGGCGCGAGCGAGGCTAATTAGCTGCAGCAAGCGCACAGACCGGCCGGCCCACTCACACAGCAGCCGCGAAGCTCTGGTGGGGTTACTTTTTGATTGGCGGCTCCAAGGAAGAGTCCGGGAAACGGGGCAAGCACGTCTGGGGCACAGGCGAAATAATTAGTTACGAATTCGGCGCCTAGGTCGCCGCAACAGGTGCACCTGCAAGAGGCAACATGCCTCCCATTAAGATGCGAGCGACCCAAACAGAGACGCAAGCGCCAGACTGGAGCATACGGAGAGAAGACGCACAGTGGCGCCAGCTCAACGAACAGCCCAGAGAGCGTAGGCTAGGGCCGACCAGCCAAGTGGCGGGACAGTGGGCACGTGGGGCCGCACCGCTCACCACTACGAGGCGAGAGAGCGGGGAAAGCGCGGGCAGAAGAGGGGTGGCCGGGAAAGCCTCACTCACTTGGACTGCTGGGCGCGATCCGCCGTGAGCCATCGACCAATGCGCTGACGTCGATGCAGCCGCTGAGTCCGAACCTAGACTGCCTTACCCGGAGTGTCGGGGGAACGGCAGCAGGCGCGGCCTAACACCATAGCCAACCCGTAGTTGAGCATGAGTACTGTCAAAGGATGAACCACTCGTGCAGTATCAGGAGCACGATGGTGGCTCCCGCCCAGAGTTGTACCACGTCGTAGGCGAACAACGCAGGCAGCTGATCCATCACGGTGGACGGGGGAACCAAGCGGCGTGCGTCAATCGGGGGCCGTGGTGGACCAGAAGGGGGAACTTCGACAGTCGAGCAAAGGGTGTACCACTTGCTGTGCCGCACTCACCCCAGGTCCGGCCCCCGGTGGTGCCTAGTGCTCGAAGAGCCTCGGTAGGGGGGAACTCGTGTGTGGCCGAAACCGCAGGAGGAGGAGAGGGGGGAGGAGGAAACGCAGCCGATAGCCGCAAAATCATTGAATGATAGGAGGAGGGGGAGGCGAAGCCATGGCAAATACAGCGGGACCTTGGCCACTGTGATCACACAGCGCGATGCGGTGGGACCTCGGTCGCGGGGGGAACAGGGCGCCTGATCGTCAGCATCGTCGGGGGAGAAGCACGTGAGGTGCAGAGCGTGAG